GCTCTAGCCTGAGCCGCTGCACATTGATGTTATGATGATGAATGCATCAGTAAATGAGCAACAGGAGACAAGAGGGAGCTGGAGTATGGAGAAAGGGAGTCACAAAACTAGACAGAGAGAGGTAGAGGAAGGGAGAGAGAGAGAGAGAGAGAGAGAGAGAGAGTGAAAGTAAAAGTTGGAGTATATGCAGAATTGACTTTTATAGGTATATAAACGCAATTTTTTAAAACAATACGCTCACACACTGCATGAGTATGCAAGGGCTTAGTTGAATTCATGAGAATCGCAGAGTAAGGCAATTTTTAAATATGCATTTTTTCTGCCAAACTTAATCTGTGTGGCATGCAACTTAAGCATAAGCTGATTATTGAATAAACTGAAAGTTGAAAAAATGTGTTCTGTTTTCCCATTAATTCCCATTAAGGACTTTTGTACTTCAGTGCAATTCCACTTAGTTGCCATAAAGCTCTATCCAGTTTCTTGGCATTTCACACAATTCTTTTTTAAGCTTAATTTAAGTCTTTCATTATTTGGCTGAGCTTTTCTTGGGCGACAGCGTCTGCTTGTTGTGGCCTTTATGACGCATACGCAGTTGCACCTTGAAAATTCTGCTGGCCTGGCCCGAACTTTTGGCCCTGCCCCAAACGTGCACAATTATGAAATGTGCTCTCTTCTTCTTTTGTTGAGCCAAAACTTTTTTGCCACATGCCATAAAAATCGTTTGCATGGCATTTTGTTGGCAGAGAGTCGGCTGCAGCTGCCTCTCTCTCTCTCATTCTCGCTCTATGCCTCTCTCTCTCTCTCGCTCTGCTATTGATGTGGGTCAGTTACGTGGCCGCAGGGGCCACAGAAGTTTGGCGGGGCCAGCGCCTGGCCTGGCTGGCAAGGGAAATGCAATTCAATCCAAGGCTGAGCCGCAAAAGTTTTCATTGAGCGTTTTCAATTTCAATGGTCTCGATTTCACACGCCTCGAATGTGAACCCAATCCGCAGCCAAACACGCATCTACATAGTTTTGCGCCAGCTACGTGCACGCTCTGCAATTGGAGTTTGTGGCATGTGGTATGCAGCAAGTGGCAAGTGGCATGTGATTGTGGTCTGCGTGGCCTTTAAGCAAATCCACAACAAACATTTTAGCCAAAATATTCGAATTTTATTTCAGGCCCAGACCGGCTGACAATGCCGCCTAATGCGCGTATTTATAGGTGACACGGGCTAAAAACATTTAAATATAGTATATAAATAAATATGTATATACATACATATTTATCATAATGTGATAATCCCGTTGTAGGCGTTGGCTTTTTCACCACTAAACGATTTTTTCGCAGTGATTTATAGTACGCAGCCAAAAAATACGAAATATTAAGGCGTTTAAATATCTTTTAGGTATTATACTCATAGAAACACATTAGCCAAGGCTAAGAATTATGAATAATATCTATTAATAAAGTGTGCTAACGCTTAAGGAAAATTGTGCTTAAAACTGATTAGTCTAATAATAATATGAATATATGTAAATAAATATAAGCAGAAGTTAACTTACCTGTTGAAAGCGCACGCTAAGACGAGGTTTTGGGCAGTTCCACCTGCGACTGCGGAAAATACGTGGAAATCTGAAATGAAACAAAATTTGTTGGTTTATCACGCATATCCCAATAAATATATATTAACAAGAAGTTATATAAAAAGAACTAAATGAAATATGTATAACTTCTTTGATATATAGCTGGAGCTTTCTGGCGTTGCCTGATGATATAATGTATATAAATAAAATATTATCTAATAATATGAGATTTAAGCCAAAAATTAGTAAGCATTATGTTTAAAATATGTACAACCAATTGTTGCTGTCCATATTTAAACTACATAAATAAACATTTATTTATTATTTCAATACATATTTTTTGGACAAATAAAAGACTGTTTCAATCCAAGCTACTTTTGATTTACATTTAGTATCCTTGCTCAGGATAGTCGCAGATTTCTTAGCTGCAAGTTCCTTACGCCTGAGGTGCAGGTGATTGGAATGCTGGTGTTGCACATCTGAGAAGTGGGTTGGAAATAGGTTGAGCCCGGGCAGTAGTAGAGGGCACCGTACCAGGAACTAGCGCTCAAGTAGCAGTAAATGTACCTAAATGCGGGCTGGGTTAAAATCGAATTGGCCACCGAACGGATTAGAATACATACTCCTTGCAGGTTGTTTCCAGCGTGTTGCCATAGGGAAAGCGTCCAGCCTTCTGGATATATCTGCAGTAGGTGGTGGGATCCAGGATAGAGCCCGGAGACAATGTCGTGGACATCTCGTCATCTACCAGGGGGCAGGTGGCCTGTGAACCGGATGATGCACTGCCGCAAATGTTGGGATTTTCCAGGTTGCAGACATAGTTGGGAGCACAGCTGCCGGTGATCGACGATGGAGTGAATGTACCCAGGCACAGAGCAAATGTGCGAACGCCCAGGCAGGCATGGGTCATATCTTCGTTGCACGTAAAACAGCTGTTGCATGACCTCATGGTGCTGTCGGTCTGGCAAATCGCCTCCTGCGCCGTGCAATACGAGCCCGATGGACAGCTATTGATTGGTTGTATAGGTAGGTTGTCCTCGCAGAACATAAACTGTGTTTCCGAAACGCAGGCCGCATTGGAGGATGCGGAGCAGATATTACAATCGCCCCGGCAATCCTGGACTCCGATGGCCAGCAGCAGCAGCACCAGCACGCGCAACATCTTCGAGCACAACTGCACTGTTGCAATGCACGGCAAGTGCATTTAAGATGTGCTTTTAATCTAATCTGCATAATGGCCGAGCATCTGAGTTGCGTAAGCGTAATCGTAAAAAATATTAAATAATAAACGAATCTTTGTTTAGTCTCTTTGAATTTATGATGAAGCCGATTTTAGCGCAGGGCAGCAGGAAATAGTTGTCCAAAAAAACCGAAAGCCCTTATAAATGATAGTAGATATATTTTAAATGATGTATACTTATATACCAAGTAATTTGTAAATAATATTAAAAAAATATGTATATTAACAAACAATTTTCACTGCACACTGGTGAAGGTCATGAAGGCTGACAATAAATATTGTTGCCTGTAAATATGCAATCGATTTTAAACATTTCATTCTTTTAAAAGACCTAAAAAATATATATAAAAATATTTATTGTGTTTTTACTTCTTTAAATACATTAAGCAGCATTAGGCGCAGTGCCATAATAAAACAAACCAAAACCCCCTTTCCACGATAAGGAAATAGATATAATTTAAATGCCTTAAATAAATATTTGAAATAAATGAACGATTTTGGGCACACTGGCAAAGGTCATTAAAGCGGGCAGCAAATGCTGGCGCCAGAAAGTATGCAATAAAATAGATGACACAATTAAGACTACTTTATAAAATAACTTCATCAAAGAATTTTTCTACGAATTTAAATTTAGACTGACCTGATAGGTAGATTTTGTCGTCCTATATATCTTGCCAAGCTCCGGAAATAGGATATTCAGTTTTTCTCCTTCCAGAAGAAGCAGGTCGCCTTATAGGATTATACGATCGTTTTACTTGCTCTTTTGAATTAATATACCCAGTGGACCTGCAAAATGATGCAAATTATTCAACGTATATAATAAATAGGGAAAAGTATATATACTATATATATCTAATATATAATACAAGATGATAATCTTGATGTATAGTTAATAGCCAGAAAAAGCTTTCTGTATTGCTTCAATAACAGCTAATTTAAAAAGTTAAGCTTTTTATTGACGTAGATTTCACAGAGATAGTAAAATCTTAACGCAAGTTGAAGGTCTTATCTATAAAAACTGAAATACTCGTGTGCACACAAATTAGGTAAGATTCGTGGAATAAGCGAGTAAAATTAAAAAAAATTCAAAAATATATTTTTAATGAAGAATATTTCTGCAGAAAATACTAACACTATATATTAAATAAAAATAGTTAAGCAAAAAGACAACCTGGAAGCGTAGATTTGGTGTTGCCACAAACTAAGTTCCAGCCGTCGAAATAGGGTTTATCAGTGGGGCAATCGATAATGCGACCCACCCACGATTGTATATAGAATCGGCAATAGATGTAACTGAAAGGGGGAAGAAAACAATGAATGCAACTAGAATATATAAAAAGAAATCGCGGGCTTACCTGGTGCACTCGGTGTCATTGGGAATAGCATGAATGGGAATACCCTTGAAGGATGCTCTGCAAAAATCATCTATGGATTCAATGGGGCTCTCCAGTGTGGTGCTCTCTGTATTGTCCTCAGTGCTTGGCTGCTCTGTGGTTGCCGGTTCCTCTGTGGTTGCCGGCTCCTCTGTGGTTGGCAGCTGCTTCGGGCAGGTTGCACTTGTCGTAGTCGCATTGCCGCATATCTCCGGCAGATATCTGTTGCACACCAGCTGCTCGCCGCAGTTGACCGTGATATTGGAGGGTCGATTGCCGCCCAGGCACAGGGCAAAAGTGCGCGTGTCCATGCAGGCAAAGGTGCCCAATTCATTGCACTCGCCGCAGCCCTCACAGGCGGCAAGTGCTGCGTTCTGTTGGCAAATCGGCAGCTGGCTGGTGCAGTAGCTGCCGGCGGGACAGGAGTTGATGGGTCCCGTGGCTTGGTGATTTGAGCAGTACTGAAATTCCCGCTCCGAGATGCAGGCCACGTTGCTGCCGACGGCGCAGGCATTGCATTCTGCCTGGCAGCCCTGGCAGCCGAATGCAATGGCCAGAATCGCAGTGAGTAGATGCCGCATCTTGAAATGCAACTGGCTGAACGATGCACGGCAGCAGCTTTTTCATCGTAATAGAAACTGCAATCTGGTCTAATCTAACTGGAACACAAAGGCAAATCTTGTATGGGAAAGTGAGCAGAGACATTGTTTTTGTTGGGTTGCTTTCTTTATGGCCCTTTTGATAAGCCAAAGCGCAAGCAAGGTCTGTGCGCTTATCTAAATTGTGGCTAGCACAAAAACAGTTGCTTCGACAAGGTTAAGCCGAAATTAGTTGCCCAAAATTACTATTTAAAGAGAGACAACGATCCATAAAGAACATACAACTGTGTGAAATGTCTGCGAAGGAGATGAAACTTTTTGGATGGCTGCTGCAGCTGATGTGCCTGTGGGCCAGCGCCAAAGCCACTTGCAATGTATGCAATGCCGTCAACAGCATGGCCTGCTACTCGCTCAACCAGACGCAGGCCTGCGATGCAAGTGGCCTGCCCACGCGCATACCCTATAGCTGTCCCGACGGCTATGTGTGTGTGAGCAGCGCAGCAGGCGTGCGCTGCCAGCCCAGCAGCAGTGGAACGGGCGCCTGCCAGGACTGCAACAAGTGTGACTTCACCAGGACCTTTGCCTGCACGGGAACGAACACCTTTGCGCTCTGCCTGGGCACGGATGCGCCGCAGAACTCCGTGGGCACCTGTGCTGCGGGCTATGTGTGCAACAATCGTGATGAGCGGATTTGCGGGCTGGACACGCAGGTGGTGCCCACCTGTTCCTATGCAGATGAGACGACAACAACAACAACGGCAACAACTGCAACAACGGCAACAACTGCGACAACTGCAACAACGGCAACAACTGCAACAACTGCGATTACGGCAACAACTGCAACAACGGCAGCAACAACCACCACGGCAGCCACGCCCTCGACTAGCGATGCCAGCGCCTACTGCGCTGCTGTCCAGGCCCAGGGCAACTATGCGGTGGGAAACTATACGGCAACGACTTGCCGTCAGTATATCAAATGCTTCCTGCTGAATGGCAGCTGGCGTGGTCAAGCATATACGTGTCCGGGCAGCACATACTTCAGTCCCAGCAGCAGGCTGTGCGTCACCACGGTGCCCGCCACGTGCTACACGCCGCTGAGCACCACGACAACCACCACGGTGGCGCCCACCACCAGCAATCCGAATGCATATTGCGCCAAGATGCAGGCCGAGGATTACTATCCGGTGGGCACCACGGCCAGCACGACTTGTCGTCAGTATATTTACTGCTTTGAGCTGAACGGCAGCTGGAAGGGTAAGCTGTACACCTGTCCGGGCAGCACCTACTACAACAGCTCCAGCAAGACGTGCGTCACAGCGCTGCCCGCCACCTGCACGAGTGCTGTGGCCAGCCTGAGCCTCAACGGCGTGGATCTGGAGTGACAGTTGCAACTATCTATTATGATTATAAGTCTATTATTATTATTAAACGTCATATTGTATCAATCAAGCTGTGCAGTTGGCGGGCAACAGGTAGGAACAGCGTTCTTTTTCCGCCTCGAAATAGGAGCTCGCCGTGCAATCGTATTCCACGGCTATAATCTTGCCACTCGTGGCAAAGTAGCAACTGATATAGCTATAAGAAATAGAATATGCATTAATTAGAGCTTGAAATTGAACTATTAATTGCTACAAACCGTTTGCAGTTGGGATCGCGCGGCACAGTTTCGTAGAGTCCCGACTTGGCCCTCAGCTCGCACACCTGCTGCGCCGTCAGTGAGCTGGGCGTTGTGGGCTTGCTTGTGGTTGCCACTGTGGTCGCCACTGTGGTGTCCTCGGTGGGGCTGCTCACCAGATCGTCGTTTAGGTCACAGGTGTAGTTTTGACCAGCCCGCTCGGCCACACAGACCACATCGGTGCTGGCATCGCAAACGTAGCCCGCCGGGCAGACGCCCAGCGCGCCCGTCGGCTGTGTGGCACCGTAGCACATTTGGAACAGGCGTCGGCTCTGGCAGGCGAATTTATAATTGCGATTTGCACTGCATTGGCCACATTTGCTGGTATCGCCGCAGCTGGGAGGCCACTGGGCGCTTGTCTGCAGACAGATGGCCGCCCTGTCGGTGCAGACAGTGCCGTCCAGGCAAGAGTAGATGTGATCCGTATGCGGCGTGCCATCTGGAAGATAATATTAAAAATATATATTTATTGATTTGCATCGAAATCGGCTTGAGTGTGAAGTTTGAACTGCTCGAGTCTGCAACATGCTTTGAACTGCTCGAGTCTGCAACATGCTCGAACACAACCGCAACTTGATGCGAGCTCGAACAGCTCGAACCGAGACTTGAATCACAACTAGCTCGATCGAAATAATTGCGCAAGTATTCAAAACGTGTTTCGGCGGACTCGATGCAGGGCTTTAATATACTTGCACTGGAATATTTTAATATATTATTATTTACGCACCTCCAAAACACAAGTAGAAGGATGTGGAATTGATGCAGGCCACCTGATTCGTTTGGCAAACATTACAGTCCGCCAAGATCCCGACCAAAAACCAGGCTAGAGCGAGCTTAGGATGAACAAATATATGTATCGTCTATCATGCCAATATCCTGGCTAAACTTACCACGCAAACAATTTGCACATAATTGAACATTTTCATAGCCATTTGACGCCTACTCGATACTCCTTGATGTTTTCCGAAGACTTCTGTTCACTGTCAAGGTTTCGGGTGTACTAAAGTACATTAATCTCTTGTCTGCGGTGTTATAAGCTCTTGTTTTTTTCTAGTCGACTAGTGAAATTTTCATTGTTTATCTACTCTTCATATATATTTTGGGGCATGCTAATTGTTTTATTTGCTTTGGCTTTCCACTTGATTGCCCGGCGCTGTTTTATGATCGCAACATAAAAACCACGAAAGAAAAAAGAATCTAACACTGCGATAATGAGCTGAAAGCTTTATCATAATAATACACCTGACTAGCTACCAGGCCGCTGACCAAATGCCCATAATATTCTCGTAAGTCAGATGCAATTGCTGCGGCAATTATGGACAACAGACTGAAAAGAATGAACCAAATTATTATAAATGCATAAATTAATGAAATGCTCAAAGATTGTCTAGTTAATAGAACTCGACTAGAAAATAGCCTTTACTGATTGCCTCACTGCGCCAGCATTCAGCTTAGAGATGGGACAAGTTTTTCGACATGCCAAAACGAGCTCGTGCTGCGAGATTCTTTTTCGTGTGTGTTCCGTGCAAGTCCGTGCTAATCTCACCAGCACGAACAGCACGATTTGTGAAATAAAAAACTTATTCGAAATTCGTATTCCTAAATTTTGGAATAAGGCGAATAAACTTCTCTATACTTGACTGTATTAGGCTCAGTTGGACTGTGCCTAGTTCAATTCGTGTCGCACGTGCTTCTAAAAGATTATTTCGTGTTCGTGCTGCCTTGTCTCGTTAAAGATCGGCCCGCGCTCATCTCCAACTGAGATAATCAATTAGCTATAGAAAAGTCGACTAGCAGATGCCCCTAAGCTTAGCTTGGCTCCTTTTGGGTAAAGACCACTAATAATTATATTAATTTTAAATAGAAAACTCTCTGCTGGAATTTACAATTTTTGCTGAAACCCAAATATTTATGATTATAGCTAATAGAACAAGCCAAAGTTTATTTAAAAGATACGTTTGTAAGCAATTATATAATCAAATAAGAGTTACAATTAAGTCAATTGCAACCCGCAGTGGTTGGCCTTACCGTGCCGCAAGCGGAGACCGCATTGAAGTAAGGTTTTTCTGTCGGACAAGCGACTATGTTTGCCTGCCAGACGCCGCCCCTGTAAAAGCAACTGATGAAGCTGCAAGGGAAGAATATTTATTAATAAATCTTAATTTGATATTCAATAATAACAATAACCTGGTGCATTCTGTGTCACTCGGTTTGGCAAAGCGACCGGCTTTCTGAATGCCGCGACAGTATTCATCCGCATCAAATTGTGGTGTAGCTGTTGTCGCGGAGCTGCTGCTACTGCTACTGCTGCTACTGCTACTGCTGCTGCTGCTGCTGCTACTGCTGCTGCTGCTGCTACTGCTGTCAGTGGTTGGGCTAGCAGCGGTGCTCTGACCAGTAGTGGCTGCAGTTGGGCTAGACTCAGTGCTCGGATCAGGTGTTGGCGTAGTGCCCGACTCGTTCTCGACCTTATCACACGTGTCTTGGCTGTCCGGTTCGCATCTTGAAACACAGGGATCTCCTATCGCTGCTCCAGAGACGCTGCAGAACCAGTCTGTGGGGCAGGGACTGCGCTCGGGCAGCAGCACGCCGTCATCGCATCTGCCGAAGGTGGTGCGGGAGGCGCAGGCGTACATTTCACCATTGCTGCACTGTTCACACTTGGATGTATCCCCGCAGGCGGGAAGTAAGTCCTGACCCATGCAAATATCGCCAAATTCCGTGCAAATCGGGTTGTCCTCCGGACAGGAGAAGCTATGCTCCGGATATGGGACGCCTGTGGTGCGGCATCGATTTTAGGCGGCAACTTAAAACTGCTTCAAGCATCCAATCTTACCATTATAGCACAGCTGAAAGGTGGTGTTGCTGGTGCAGGTGTGCGAGCCGTAACACAGCCCGCAGGTGGCCTCCACAATTGCCGCTGGCGCCAGTAGCGTGGCCAGGAGAGCAAAAAGCCCAATGCGTAGGAGCTGCAACATCTTCAGATTTTTAATTGAAGTAGCTGGAAGCCGTACTCATGCCTTATAAATGCCGTGGACCGCTCCGTACGTTATCTTTATAGCTGAAACTACCCGAAAGCCCTTTTTTATCTCTCAATGCTACCGCATCCATAAATATGCTAGCTACTGTGCTGCCTATCTGTATTCGCCTATCTGCTGTAAACATTATTATTTGCACAATCCTAAGCCCAGCATAAAACAACACGATTATCTCAAGCTGTTTGGGTTTTTTTTTTTACCAAAGAGTGCTCCAAGCGCCGGAGGATGATATAAATGTGCGGCATATGTTGAAAAGTCTCATTAGTCAGTTCGACGCTCTTCCGCCAAACATAACAAATATTCAAAATGCAGCAGTCGCTCTGCCTAAAAAATCTGGTAAGCCAGCTAGACAGTGGCAGTGGCAGAAGATGCCTTCTTTAACAGCTTTTACTTCCTTTAGATGCTCCTCTTGGTGCTCAGCTCCCTGCTGGTGGCGGCTAGTGGCGCGGTTTGCGGTGGATGCATGGAGAACAAAGTGGCCTGCATGAACTCCACCCACTACAAGGTCTGCATCAACAACTCGCCCATTGAGAACGGAGGCTTACTCAGCTGTGGCAATGGCAAGATCTGCACCAGTTTACTGGATCCATGCTGGCTATCGATAGAGGGAGATGGTGTTGAGCCCGTTTGCGACCCAAACGCTGTTAACTGCAGAACCTGTGATGGCAGTCAAATGTTTGTCTGCACCAGTCGCACCACCTTCCAACTGTGCAATGGCAGTGATTTAAGTCCCATTATCAACACCTGCCCGGATAACACCTTCTGCTCCATCGATTCCGGCGAATACTGTGTGAAAAGCTGTAGCCTGCCCAACGGAAAGTACGAGTGCGATAAGCTCGCACCTTAAAGTAGTCGAAAAATAAATCTTATCAACTGTTTAAAGTTTTTAAATTTAAATTGAAATATAACAATAAATAATATAAAAATATGTAAGTACTGATCGATTGATTGATTGATTGGTGACAAATGCACAGCCCATACAAGAAGAGCTACGAAGCTGAAATTTTTGCTCCATTTACTTTATGTGATGCAAGTAAATATGGGGTTTCGGGAAATTCCACTCGCATATGTAGAAAAATCACTTAAATTGTTTGCATGAATCTTTTTTGTTTACGATTTACATACATACATATATACATACATACATACACACATCCATACATACATACATACATACATACATACATACATACATACATACATACATACATACATACATACATACATACATACATACATAAATACATACATACATACATACATACATACACACATACATACATCTACATACATACATACATACATACATACATACATACATACATACATACATACATACATACATACATACATACATACATACATACATGCATGCATGCATACATACATACATACATACATACATACATACATACATACATGCATGCATGCATACATACATACATACATACATACATACATACATACATACATACATACATACATACATACATACATACATACATACATACATACATACATACATACATACATACATACATACATACATACATACATACATACATACACACATCTACACATCTACTTACCCGCCCATCCTACATCTACCTACCCGCCCATCCTCCTCCTGGTCGGCCGCCTACTGCTCCACCACAGGTGGAGCCAACGTTTCCTGCCTTGCTAAATTTCAGCAAGGCCTACTTGAATTCTTGAGAATCGAGGAGGAGAGCACTTGGTAGAAATTCGTTTTATTTAAATTTTCAGGACAACGATAAATAAGCTTGGTCTGCGTGCATACATATATTCATAAATACATATGTACATGCATGCATACACTAACACACACACGCCCAAGGACACAAACACACACATATATACTCAGAAACACATATATAAAAAATACTTATATGCCTTCGTCCAAATACTTGTTTAATTATAAAAGTAATTATTTTCAGCAGTTTTTTAAAAGAATTTTTTGCATATCGATTCAACCAATGATCGATTACTTTATAAAATCATAATAAAATATATAAGAAGTATACGAATATATAAAATTATCATATAGATTTCCTTGAGTGTATTTTGCTTTCCCTAATATACATAATAAATGATCATCTAATATGGAAAAGTCTCTTATTCGCAAAAAGCACGTGTATTTTATGTGAATCAGCGCAAAGATTCGACCTTTGCCCATTAAGCCCCATGTGCAGCAGCTAAAATTATCAGAATAACATTAACAAGAAGCATTATCTAAGCAGAGTGTCTAAATAACACATTTAGTATACCCTGTACGCATAAATTTGTTTGTTTCTTGTTTGGAATATATAGGCAGAAGACATCTGTCAACCCAAATCAGTTGTCAAATAAACAGGTAATTCGAAATCCGAATCAAAACCATGTTTTTTCACTACATTTTCAATGACAAATTTAAATTATATTTATAAATATTTTCTTCCGAGCATAATCTTTTTAACCCCCATTTGAAAACTTAGTAGTTATAAATTAAATACCTTAAATAAGCTTAAATAATTAATTTTGATCGGAAACTTAGCATTTATCTAACAATATTTCGTATATGCCAACTTTGGGTAGAGATCAAATTTAGCCCGCATTTTGTATATGAAAATATGTGCGACAGGCAATATTTTCAGAACAACGGGCAGATGTAACTTTAAAATTAGTTTTTTATTAAAATATTTTCATTAAAACCTGTGAAAGATTTGTGCACCGACTCATCAATATTTTATTTTGGGTTGGCATAGGTACGCATATCTGTTTGTCCTCTTGCGATTCCAGGGAATCTCTTCATAAGCTGATCTTAAATAATGTTGCTTATGTTTTATACCAACACATATGTGGAGGGTGAGAGCTTCATAAAATAAATCCCATTGCAAATAAATATACATACCTATAATCCATTTCCCCTTTGCAAAACGATTCCAGCGAAGAGCTGCGGCCCTGAAATGAGAATTTGCTAAATACCGTTAATAAAATTGTTATAAATAAAAAGCTCTTATCGCAGTTTTTTTTTTTTTTTGGGCGTCATATTCGACAAGGTCCAAAAACACGGTGTGCCGTCCAATAAACTTAGCCAGAGCCAAGCGAATGGCTAACAAAGTGCACTCGCTTAGGTTACAAAATATATAAATTAAATTAGGCAAAACAAGAGCTAACATTGACCCAATTGCCGTTCGGCTTTAATCAAATTAGTCAGACTAGATGACGTTCAGGTTTTCGGTTTTCACAGCGGCATTTCACACCACATGTGACATAACTTTTATTATTATTATTCTATTACAATGAATTTTCTTTTATGTCGCAACCAAATTGTCAGCCACTTTCACGCTCGAATTTTCGCCAGGCCTTGCCCAACATATAATCGAATGCGAGGGTGTGGAAAATACAAATTCGCAACAGGAAGCACAACAAAAAACGTTGACGAAACGTGTAATACACGTATTATATAGGGATATATCCGCAAACACCTCCGCACCACCAGCAATGCCATTGACTGCATTTGGATTTGAGCCACAAATGTTGCTGTTGTTGATGTTGTTGTTGTTGCTTTTGTTGCTGCTGTTACCATTGCTGTTGATTGTGGCGCAACTAATTGTTTTTTAGCAGCTAGAGTTTTGTCAAAGCAATTAATATTCAGCTAAATTTACAGTTTTTTATACCATGTACCCACTGTATATAGGTAGAACGGGTATGATGCCTAAACAGGCAGAAGAAAGCATCTCAGATCCCATTTAGTAAACATATTCCTGATCTGGACATTCCATCTTGAGAATTATATGAGTTAGAGAATGAACATTTGAAATTTTTATACAAGTATATCACGCCCTGTCCATATTTTTGACTCCTCTGTAATATCGATATTTATCGATTTTGAGTACTGTTAATTTAAGCATAACTCGAAAATTTTAGGAGCTAGATCCACCAAACTTGGTATGTAGGTTCTTGTAAAGCATGTGGAAAATGTTGGAGAACTAGTCCCATTTCATCATAAATGGAAAATAGCTTAATTTCAAAGGTAAAGCTTTGCGCTTTGGTATATACACACTCTCTTAAGCCATATTCAAGCTATGAAAATTTCACAAATATCTGCTTTTAAGCAACCAAGTTTTTTCAGAATTCCCAAACATAGCTTGGGGCAAAGTTTTTTCAGAATTCCCAAACATAGCTTGGGGCAAAGGCAAGAAGAATGGATGAATGTATAGATCTGAAATACTTGAAATGTTTGCAATGGCGCTGGAGCTGAGGATATCTTCAAGTCGGGCACACCCGATTAGAGCAGTCTGTGTTTTTGTCGTTAAACTAAAAAGCGCAAAGCGCCTACAAATTTCGGTCATTAAACTTATTTCCACGCCAAGCCAAATAAATTGTCGCCCCTGGGCGGCTGCGTGCCATAACAGCGCCAGGGCGCAACGCGTGCGCATCTTCAGCTCCCAGCTCCATCTACGGTTTTGGAAACGGATAACCCTAGGAGAAAATGATCAATTTTCAGCTGCAGCTAAGCAGCGTATACGTGATCTGTTGTGTGTTCGTCCTGGCCAGCAGCAAGGTGCCAACCAAAACACATACGAACAGCTGGCGGGATTTGATCTTTGGCAGCAAGTGGATGTCGCCGACGCCGCGTCAGCGCGAGTCCAAGTGTGGGTGTGGTGGATATGGTGTTTGTGTTGACCACAGCTGATTTGACCTTTCGCAGTTTTACCCATCTTTGCCCTGGTGCCCATCGGACCGAGCAGCTGTGCCGCGCCCTCCGGCGAGCAGGGCAACTGCATAGCCAACAAGGATTGCCTGCTTCGCAATGGCATTCCGGCCGGACCCTGCGGCGGTGGCTACGGTGTCTGTTGCATATGTGAGTGGAAGTCTTTTTTAGAAGCTCAATCCCTAAGTTAAAATATATTTGACAGTTCTACAAACCTGCGGCGGCATCATACGTGAAAACTCCACTTACTTTGTGAATCCCAATCATCCGGATGTCTACGATGGCACCGGCAGCTGTCAGGTGACCGTGCAAAAGCTGCATCCAGATATTTGCCAGTTGCGCTTGGACCTGGACATGTTTTCGATAGCGCCACCCGAGGCGGCCAATCATTTGTGCAATCAGGATCAGCTGCTGATCTCGGGCGGCAGTCCCACGCCCACCATATGCGGCAGCTCCACAGGCGATCACAGTGAGATCTGCCAGCGAAAGTTGAGAAGTAGTCATCAAATTGTGTCCATTTTGCAGTGTACATCGATGCGGGTCTGGGTCAGAGCAATCCCATTGTGCTATCCGTGATAACCAGCGCCAGCTTTCCGCGCCTGTGGCGCGTGCGCGTCACCCAAATCCACTGCGGCAGCATTAGCCGTGCGGATCAGGGCTGCCTGCAGTACTACACGGCGATCAGTGGGCGTGTCCGGAGCTTTAACTACAACACGGTGGGCGGACGTCAGCTGTCGAATCAGGACTACAGCATTTGCATACGGAGCGAGCGCAACTTCTGCGGCATTCAGTATAATGCCTGCCCGGATCTGGAGAACAATCGTTCGCGTGCCTTCACCATATCCGGCAACTCCAACAATCCGGTGCCCACCATGGTGGGTGGCGGCGGTGCTGGTGCGGGCGGTGGGGCGGCGCCTAATGGCAATGGCTGCATCAGCGACTGGCTGCTGATTGGCTGCATACGCTCCGCGGATCGCATACCGCCGCTGCCCGGCTGCGAGGATCGCGTCTGCGGCGGCACCTTCAGCGCCGAGGCGGGCATGCTGGCCAAGACCGTGCAGTGTAAGTCCAAATGTCCCGATCCAATTGAAGCCTCCTTAATCTGAATCCTCTTGGCAGCCAGCGTACGTCCGTTTCGCCTGTATTTTCACACTGACGGCGTCGAGGCGCCCAATGATATAGACAATCGTGGCTTCTGCCTGGACTATGTGCAGCAGCCGTGCACGAATGGATATTGAAGCAGGCTCGAGTCTTCGTTGATTTAATAAATATGTGTGTATGTATTTTATTTATTATCGTAGTTAATCTAAGGCTAAGCTATAGTTAAGTTTTAAGTTAATATCGTCGCAGATCGGTACAAATTAAAATCTTGGGATAACGTTTTGAAATTCTAAAATACATATATATATGCATATATACATATATAGATATATAAATTTGTTTTGGCTATTAATACAGTTGTTGTTACAAAATAAAAAATATGTTTAATTTTAATACTTAGACGAAGTAAAAACAAATATCGAATAACAGAAATGGATTAAGAGAACTTCTGTAGGACTGTGTCGTTTCAGATTTATGGGAGTTGCGGTACAACGGTTCCGGAACCGGAACCGGAACTACTAGTTTCGTGTACCTATTGCTCGGCTGCATCTGCTGCTGCACATGAGATCGCCAATTTCAGTCTGTGCGCGCATTGCCCGGACTTGTGACGTCACTGGCGAGGTTTGCTCGGGTTTCTGGGATGGGATTAGGGTTTCGCCCAGGGGATTTTCTTAGCTTTAATAGGTTTGTATTAGGGCAGACACATGCTGCTTCTCCTCATCGGTGAGACCGTTCTTCAGCGTTCGACGCACTGCAAAACACAAATCAAAATAGTTATCAACATTTTTTGCTCTCAATTTAATTCTCAACATTTGATACATAGATAAAGTCGAAAGGTGCATCTCATGCGGTTTTAGTAGCGTGTTTTTTTTTTGTGTATTATATTTTCTTATTTTAAATTAAAAACATGCTCTGTATTTTAATAATTCAAATGGGATGCGAGTAGGTGCGCTTCGAGTGCAAGAACACATATTTTGTGAGCTCCATTTGCAAACATTTAGTTGAGAATTTGTAAAATATATTTTGTTTTAACGGGCTTTCAGATGCCAGCAAATGGATCTCTGAAAAAAAATACGAAACTCGAACAAGAAACTTAAACAAAAATCAAAAGTTTGCATTGTATATATGCAATGAAATTCAACACTAACCAAAATAAAGGGGTAAAAACCTAAATGAGAACAGTTTGACTGTTCTTTTCGGTAACAGTTGCGCAACAGCTGCGCAACGGTTCTATGGCGATGGCGCTCTTTCAACTGTGAATCCCTCGCGCGTGCGGCTGCGCTTCACTTCGGTATTCAATTGATTCGATTCGATTGATTGGTCGATTGATTTGTTGATTGATTGGTTGATTGGTTGATTGATTGGTATTTGTTGGGTGCGTTAATGGTAAGAAAACACAAAATTAAAAACCAATATAGGCAACCGATTTGTAAGCTAGCAGAACCGAAAAGTGCCAAAGCATTGGAAGGGGCAGGTGGGGCGGGCTTATACAATTTAAGTGTGGGGTAATAATTTTGTCAATCAGTGCATAGTTTTTTTTTTCGATCTTTCAGGTGTCAATTTTGGAATTTGTTGTGGCATTTAATTCATTTCATTTCGAATCTGCTCAGGTGTGCGTGTGTGTGTGGACGGTTGGGTGTGCCTGTGTGGGTGTGTCTGTGTGGCCAGCCAATGGTGCGCGTGTGTGCGTGTGTGTGTTCCAAAAGATAAACCAACAGCTAGATTAAAATTGAGCTTGGCCAACACGGGCAGATAGCAACAAGGCGTTTCGAGTGGGCGTGGCAAACAACTTACAGGACTTGCGATCCGCATGGCGTGTACGCTTGCGCTCCCGGGGCGTGGTGCGGTTGCCGGAGGCCTTGGTGGCCGTCTTGACGAGAGATTCAAGTATTTCATCATCGCCATCGGTAAACTGCTCCTCGCTCTGCCTGGCGATGGGCGAACGCAGCTGCTCGGCGCGCCGGCGTCGCCAGGTGAGTGTGCCGTCGGCCTGATCCGCGCTGGGCGTGCCCAGCAGTTGCCTGTGAAAAGGTAAACATAGATGCTAATTGATGTAACTGTGTGAAACTTGGGGCACACTTACTTTAGCTCGGCATCGGCCACATCTTCTTTGGTCTTGAACTTGGCCATGTCGATGATCAGCTTGCCGCGTGTCTTGTTGCGCTCGCGATGATTGGCCTTCTTCTCCAGCTGCTGCTGGACGCGCTCCCGTGTCGTGCGATACTCCAGCGCGAACTCGGAGAGCGTGCGACAGAACTCGTTGGGTCGCGACTCGGACACACTGTGCTGCGGCATACCCAGCCACAGCAGGAACTTGCGGTAGCGATTCATTACGCGCCGATGCACAATCTGCAGGCTGATGATGCGCTCTGCACAATCGGCCAGAAAGTCGACGAGTTTCTGTTTCAGCGGCGGCGCACAGTCGTGCTTGGCAATCAGCTTGAGGCGATCCCAGGAGGCCTTGCACTCTGACTCCAGTTGGGTCAGATTGTGGGCAAGGTCGGCGAAGTCCGCCTTGGAGGCGCGCGTAATGGGTCCAATTTCCGAATACAAATCGCTTGTATCGCTGCTGGACTCCATGACCATGTGGCAGAGATGATGCAGCAGCGAGTGCTTGTGCACCGTGTCCTTCACCTCGGGCACCTTGGCCAGATACTCGATCTGGAAGCCCTTGACCGGCGCCCCATTCAGAAAGATGCCCACCGACAGCAGCGTGGAGAGTATGCTGCGAAAGGTGCGATTCTGACGCAGAATCTCAATGCCTTGCTTGAGATCCATCAGCGGTTCGGCAATCTCTCTCTGCAGTGAGCAAAAGAATGGGTTGATTAAAATAAAACAGCTGCTTGAAGCTTGCGGAGCTTACCTCGCAGTTATCAAAGTCCAGACGGAAGGCCCACAGCTTAAGGCGTGCGCCCAGCTCCGTGATGGAGGCCAGGGTCAGTAGGAACTGCTCGGCGCTGCCCAGCGGCAGCTCTGGATTCGATAGCTGTGCCTCCTGTATCTTGCCGCGCTCCTCATCCGTGGGCAGCATGTTCAGCAGCTTGTCAATGCCCTCCCTGGTCACCACAGTTGCATCCATCTTCAGAATGGCCGCCTTAATGGCGCGCGGCGGCGGTAGCTTGGTGATCGCAATGTTGATGGCATTGGAGCGCTTGTGGTCCAGCACGATGATCTCTTTGCTCTTGTTCAGCTCCTGTTGCTTCTGCAAATGCGAGAGAGAGAGTTAGCCACAGCAAAACGGAGTGAAAGCGTGAAAGAGAGAGATGTTCGTGTGGTGGGAAAAGGGGGGCGTATACACAATGTATCTAACGGTAGCAACAAAACATAAACAAACGAAAAACCAAACTAGAAATGAATTTGTGGTACCGGTTCCGGTTCCGTATTCAGTTCCGGCGCTTTTGCTGTAGTGTGTGCATGTGTGTACGAGTGTGTGTGTGTGTGTGCAACATAAAATAGTGTTGTAAACCGACACCGAGTGCAAAAACAAAGACAGAACTAACAAAAACCGAGTGAGAGTGAGAGAGAGAGAGATAGACAAAAAGAGAGAGAGAGAGCGAGTAAAAGTGTATAAAACATAACATGGAACTCACCTCCTAGAACATTTGGAAACATTTTTATTTGATTATAATTTTTGAGGAAATTTGATATATATATATTTTTTTTTTGGTTTTTAGCACAACATATATGTATTTTTGTAGATATATCCGCAAACAGACCGTTGACATATAGAAAATTATTTTAGAACATGTCCAGAAATAAATGGGAAAAGAATACAAATATCATTCGCAAAAAATTGTGTTATGCAACATTTATACTAAGATAAAAACTACTAAAAAAAAATTAAATAAAATGACTTAATATTGTTGTCAATTGAATTTTGAGCAACCCTCGCGCCAATACACACTTGCCGGGAATACCCCTAACGTCGTTAGACGTTATACAATACGCACCTTGGTCATCAAGTCTTTGGCCCGCGACTCAAAGAGATGCTCGAGCTTTTGCGTGTCCACATTCGCATTGGGCAGCTCATCCCAAATGGTCTTACCTATCACCTGCGGTATCATGTCCTCGCGCACTTCCTTCCAGAAGAGCTTGACCTGAAGATGCATAGCTTAATCAGTTAGTTTCTCGGTGGGTTCAATTGTGGGAGTGTACACACCGTCTTCTTGTTCTTCTTGATGGTGTTGTTGCCATTGGCCAGCTCCCCGTTGATGGAGCCGTTCAGTGAGCTGTTCACGCTGTTGGTCAGGCTGCCGGCACCGTAGCCCCCGTAGCTGAACATGGGCGGCGGCGCCAGGCTCGGCGGCATCATAGGCGGCGGCATGACCATGCCACCCGCCTGGGGAGGCGGTGGTGGGGGTATGCCAGCGCCGAGACCACGCGGCGCCAGCACATCCTTCTCATCGTCCGAATGTAGATCGGTAAAGTCCAGATCACACAGATTCAATGGACGTGTCATATTCCGCACCAGCTCCTCCCAGTGCAGCTCGTTCTCCGATTTCTTCGGCTCAGCCTTTTTCAGTTCCTGATCAACGCTCGATGATCTGTGCCATATACAGAGATATATAGATATAGATAGTGCAAAGTATCAGCATTATTGCACCTCCCTCTTTGGTCAAGCGAGCTGGACTTTTCGATTTTATGATAACACGATTGCAACCGGCCCATAAAGCTTATCAAAATTTCGCCTAGCAGCAAGATAAGCGACCCCAACGATAGCAAAAAGAAAATAATAAAAAATAAAAAGACGACTTTCTAGATTGGAAGATCCCTCGGATATGAGTCTATAATTGATTAGGTATTTCGTATAGCTACCGCCCCCCCTTTAAAACTAACTAACTACTGCAAAAAAGTTGCATAAAATGCGACTCATAAATTTCTAAAGGCTGCCAATTTACGAGCATTTATTTTATGACTCTGCTTATTTGATTTGACTGCGTATAGAAACGATAAGATTTACTTATATTGCGTGTGTCGCCTATAAAAAGAGGCGATTTGAGCGCTACAAATCATAGTCTTTGCCCAAATCCCAAGCAACATGGATGTAAGCAAAGCGCAAAGCTCTTCAAATAGATAATATTCCTAATCATATTCCCAATTTTATTGCCTTTGCAGTTCGATGCAATTTGCGAAAAGTCCAAGGCCTTCAGCAGCAAGCCGCCAAACGATGTCTATCTGGAATTCTATGGCCTCTACAAGCAGGTGCATGTGGGCGATGTGAATATCGAGAGGCCCGCCGATGCGGAGGGCGCCGCCAAATACGATGCCTGGCTGAGCCGCAAGGGCATGTCCACGGATGCGGCCAAGGCAGCCTATATTGCTCTCTATGAGAAATACGCGCCCATCTACACTTAAGTTGAGTTGCTAATACCCTGTTATAAAAATAAAAGTGGCACAGCCATTGCTTAGTCAGCACCCAAAACTGATTAACTAAATGCGAGACCTTTGTTCGTTTAATATTGGCAATTAAAGTTTTGTGTTTTATATAGCCGACATTTAGTAGGGCTTACCACACACACACGAACCCGTTGGTATCGATATCTAAAATATAAGGGGGTCGAATGTCATAAATCGCTATCAGCTGCCGGGTTCTAGTATAAAAAGCCGGCCCCTTGGCACAATTAGCACTCATTAGCAACCGGAGCATAAGACATAATGGATGTAAGTACATTGCAAATTGTTTATGCAACCCGCTTGATATAAACTTCTGTGCAGTTCAACACCGCCGCCGAGAAAGCCAAGAACTTCAGCAAGACCCCCACGAACGATGAGTTCCTGGAATTCTACGGTCTTTACAAACAGGCCACCGTTGGCGACAACACCACCGCCGAGCCTGGTGCACTGGATCTGAAGGCCAAGGCCAAGTGGAGCGCATGGTCAAAGCACAAGGGTCTGTCCAAGGATGCCGCCAAGGCTGCCTACATTGCCACCTATGAGAAATATGCGCCCAAATACGCTTAAATTACGCGCGATGTAAACCAATTGACTAAACTAATAAACGCCAGATATTATGCAAAAAAAAAAAATAGATAAAGATTGTGATCAAATGGACTTCTACAGATTTCTACAAGATATAAGTGGCAAGAAACTATGATATCACGGTCGAAATGCTTATTGCACCTTTAAACTTAAAGATTAGGCAACTATTGATAGCATACGATTGATAAAATATCTATGAAGTGTGTGAATACATTGAAGCAGGCACTTACCGTGAAATTTCACCTTTGCTCTTGCTCTTGGCAAGCCCCTCTTTGGCTTTCGATATGAGGCCAGACATGTCACCGACTATGGCCCGACTGCCGGGCACCTCCTGTGTGGGACTTGTGGGCAGATTGCATAGTTTCTGTGTCAGATCTTTGACTGTATGATCGCGTTTCAGCTGCATTAACATTTCCTTGTCCTCCAGATCTATGTGATCAAAAAGAGAAAATGACTTTTAAATTTGGGGAACGGGCTTTTTTCGATGGCGCTGAGAAGTGTGCAACGGCAGCAAATTTGATGTTTAGTTTGAGGCTGCGTTTGAAAGTAGGCAATGCATTTTCATGTGGCGCTCTTAAAAGTAGGCAACGTATTTTGTAAAAGCTGCACCTACCTGTCGCATCCATAGCTGCTTGAGGCTGTGGCTCTGGGTTAGTACTGGTTAGGGTTCTAGCTGCATTTGGCTGTATGGGAAAATGCCACCAGCCTGGCGGTGGTGGCGGCGGCGGCGGTGGTGGTGGTGGTGGTGGCGCCACAACCGCCGGCTTGTGTATGGGACTCAGCGGTTCGGGTGCGGGCAGCGCATCTGCCTTCAGCGGCGTCGAGCTGGCGGGCGCAAATTCAAAGGCGTTCAGCGTCTTTTTGGGACTGAGCACATCCTGTGCTGTGGCCACCAGCTGATGCTTGGGCGATTGGCTGAGCTGTGTGTAGTAGTTGTTCAGGCGATTGGCATCGTTCTCATACTTTTTGTAAGCACTGTCCGTCTGCTGTATGTTCTTCATGATGCCATTGATCACAGTTGCGTTGCGCTCCCGAAAGAGATTCTTTTTGGTAAGGAACTCATTCTGATTGTTCATATTATTGTTGGCCTTGTCGAAGCTGTTGTTGATGATCGAGATGCTCTGGCTGCCACTCAATAGCTGCTTGGTGGGGCTCAGCAGCAGGCTGTTGTTGGGCGTGTCAATGTGGTTGTTGTGGGTGTGATGGCTATTGTTGTTGCTATTGTTGTTCTGGATATTGTTGCTGATGATGTTGTAGGGCGTGGGCGCAGGCAGAGGCTGTGGCTGTAGCTGTAGCTGTAGCTGTGGCTGCGGCTGCGGCAGCTCAGATTGCAATGACTGCGGCGGGCTGTCGCCGCTTTGTATGGTTGCAGGAATGGCGGTTACAATTTGGCCTTGGCGTATGACAATTGTGGGTGACATATTGGGTTAGCATGAGCAGCGGGTGACAATGAGACAACACGCACACACATACACACACACACACACACACATTAGCATGGAGAGAGAATCATAGTTAGTTTCGTTTGTCGAAAGCAGCCGGCGGCAAGCAATTTCCATTCAAGGCACAAGAACTTACCATAGCTTTCGCGCAGCTCACGTGCCGCAAAGATGCCATTGGCGGCCGCCTCCTCCTGCTCCTTGAGGAAGCTCTTGTGCCGCTCGGCGCGCTCACGGCGGCGTCTCAGTCCAGGCGTGACGCCAGCGCTATCCCTTGCTGCATTTAGTTTGCACGTGAATCGATTGCATTTCTTGACTGGGCATTAAAAATGTTTGCTTACGCTTCTTATCCTGGAATATGCCGTTGCCGAACTCTGTGGAGTTTGTGGAGCCGGAGCTGTCGTCCTCATCGAGCGTGGCCTGCGTGGGCGTCATGCGCAGCACCGTGGTGGGCAGCACCTTGGTCAAGGGCGCCGGACTGTTGTCCGTGCTGTGGCGGCGCGACTTGCGGCGCTCTGTGGTGCCCGAGCCGGGCCGATAACGTTGCGTCTTGCGCAATGAGTTCTGCGGCAAACGCTGGCCATCCGATTCGCCATCCTCGAATCTGCAAAGACAGTTGAGTTAGTTCTCTGTTGTTTTGGAGTGTCTGATAGTGTGCATACTTCAAGACGGCCTCGTACAGCTGCAGCTGATCGAGCAGATCGAGATCTGTGCCCGGCTTGGACATGTAGCGCTGTATAACCGTTTCCATGCCCTGCTGTTCGAGCAGATCGCTCTCATCATAGAAGCTATCCTGATCCGTGAGACCCGCTAGCGTTTTGTTGATCAGCGACGTGGCATAGATCACCAGCTCCGCATCTGCATTGTCGTAGTCCTTAAGCAGTCTGCAACACAAGAAGATGTTCGAGTGATCAATTGAAGCCAAACAACGATCGATGGTCGCTCTTACCTCATAATATTGGCCCAGGGCAGTGTGCCTTGGGCTTTGTCGACCGCATGAATGGCGCTCACCAGCACATAACAATTGGACTCGGCATATTCCACAAACACGAGCAAAAGCTTAAGCGCCGTCTTGACCACTGATCGGTAATTGGAGGCGATCAATGAGTACAGCCACTCCATGGTGGGCTGGTGCTTCATGACGCCATTCATGCCATCCACATAGAGCATGACCTGATGCATTCAATGAATAGAAATAACAAACAGGCTGGGACCTGTGAGCCGCTGATCGCTGTACAGCGAACGCTTACCTGGCCAAGAGCACGCAGTATATAGTTCTGATAGTTCTGATCGGCGCAATTGCCCACGCGCACCAGGCAATTGAGACCGCCCAGAGCGACGAATGCGTGCACCAGATCCTTATCCTCCTGGAACACCTGCTTGAGCGAAAAGAGGGCGCGGCGCAGATCGCTGCCCTCCGATGAGAGTAGTTTCTCTGCAAGTCAATGGGTACAATGAGGCGTATGCGCAACGTCTCTTAACTTAGTCTTTGGACTCTGGCACTTACCTATTATGGCATGAACGCGTACGCTCAGCTGTGTGCGAACGACCAGAGAGTTTTTGCGACTGGGCCGAAGAAGAGGCAGATAGAGAAGGGTAGAGAGAAAAAAATTGATATTAATTTTGTATGTAATTTCATTAGCAATGCCAGCAAAACAAAGGCTAAAACTAAGAGTAAAAAAAAAAAAAAAAAAACGAACGCGGGCACAATGGGTTACCGTGTGGTTCATTGACCAGTTAAGAACATTGATTACCCGCTGTTTGCTGCCCAGTTGTTGGCCATAATAAAAGTAATAACAAACGACGCAGATAATTGAAAATGGACTATGAAGCATCTGAGCGAACGTAGCCGCCAATAAGTCGAGCCAAGAATTCATAATGAAATGTGGTCTCAGCTGGGCTCAACGCAACACCCAATTCGACTCAAAGTGCACACGGCCAGGCCACACCTGTGTTGGTGTGTGTTGACTGCTGCTCAAATGTGTCTGTGGCTCAGTTGCAGATTGACAACCCAACCAGCCAACGAGCCAACCAGCCAACGAGCCATCGAGCCATCGACCCATGCGAGCGAGCCGCGTGCCTGCCTTGTGGAATTTTGATGCGAACTGAGGCGAATGATTTGCATGCGAGCGCGCTTCCATGACTAATACGATAAGCATGATTAGTGACCGGACCCAGCCAGACCAGACCCGAGACCCGAGATCCGAGAGCAGACCCAGTCCGCCTAGAACACTCATTGGCGCCAGTAACTGGAGTGCACAACGCCTAACTGGCAACAATTTGCACAGACGCGGCGACATATGCATTATAATTTTATAATGGTCCGAAGATGGCATCAGCTGCCGCAGCTGAGTGCAGCTAGTGAAAGTCAGAAATAGACACGACACACCACATAGTTGCTACCCTCCGACTCCCCTGACAGGTTCTATTAATCCCATTATTTGAGCACTGCCTGACTTGGCATCACGGCTGAGGAGCAGGCCTTCAGCTACTGAGCTTGGCCCTTGGCCTGACGCGTACGTCAGTTACTTCGGATGCGATCTTGTGCCTGACATCACGTTCCTTGGTCAAATGATAAGAAACCAAGATGTACTCTACAAAGTAATCACGGCATATACGAATCTAGCTGCTGCAAAACTATCGATCATTGTAGCTATCGATAAGTAATAAGATAAATAAATATACTCAAAAGAATGCCTTAATCTTGAGAATATGTTAACATTTTTTTAAAAAGTGAACACTTTTCACAATCGATAGCTTCGATTGCTAATCGATTTGATATTTAAGTATTGTGATCGATTATAATCGAGTAACATATACCGCATGAAAACTAACCGATTAATGTGTTATTCTAGACAATTTGTCGGACGTTATTTTTCTATCGCTTTGCAATCGATATCTTCGATAGTTAATCGACAGGTTATGATTGGTGCTTTCAACATTGTTATCGATAATTTTCCAGCAATTATGCATGCATATATTAAATGGAGACTTTATGATTTCTGTTATATGCTTAACAATT